TAGACTACTTTATTTGAACTCAGAACAAGATATATACACTCAAGAGACAAATCCCCCCTCCCTGCATAATGTCACAGAGCGCGGGGAAATCTACATTTAGTAACAAGAGACACACAGGTATTCAAACTCACACCAGCAGACAGTCCCATCAGGAGGGAGGGGGCTGCTGGAGACAACCCCCCCCCCCCCACTAAAGCTAATACACAAGCACATACATCCCATAATAGTTTGCTCCCAAGAAGACACACAATAGAACAATGGGATGCAAACACACATAACACCACACAATCCACAACCCCCCACCTCACCTATCTCCTAGACATGTCTACACAATATTAGGACAGATCGCCCTGTACCCCTAACAGGCACAGGGTGACTTACACATAATAGGGATATGGGGTGCTGACACAGGGGTCTCCCCACCTCTCCAAAGTAAGCTGTGTTCCATGGGCCCCCACCCAAAGTGACTCCCGTCACATAGGGTTTTTGGCAAAAATATATACGTAATGTTTGGGGCCCACCTCACAATTTTCCAGCAATAAATACTGATGTAAAAAAAAAAATGTGCCAGAAAATGCTTAGTCTTCAATCATTTCCATATGTTTTGTTCTCAGACAGACTTCAAGGCACCTCTGGACAGTACTGTATGGACCAGCCTAAAAGAACTGAATCGCTAGAAGGGAGATCTGTCACCATTCCGTGCCAATTTGCATTTCCAGAATCGGAGAAACAGCACCTTGTCCGAAAATTTCATCGTGAGAGCATCTAATCTAAATTACTGTGGAGACAATAATATTTACAACTCCAAGACAGGATTGTTCTCCTCTAAGTATCAGGAAAGGCTAAATGTGACATTCAATGTAACACACAGACATGCCTCAATAACAATAACCAATGTAACGAAGGAGGGATGCTACACGTTATTGCTGCCGCATAGAACTGAGGTTTCCCAATGGGGACGACCGTAAATGGCAAATCCCAGATGGTACGCAGCTTTACAGTGAAAGGTAATCCAAGATCACTTGATATATACAGTCAGGGGCATCCCTAGGGTTGGTGTCACCCGGTGCGATAACGCTTGGTGACACCCTTCCTACGATCCCCGCAGAATGGATCAGATCTGAGGATTGAGCATAACGGATTGGACTCTGATCCATTATGCTCAATCCGCAGATCCGATCCATCCTGCGGGGATCGTCGGCATGCAACCTATACGGGGTGACACCGGACCCGCTCCAAGAAAAGGTAAGTTGTAAAGAAAGCCGATAATCCCGCAGGATGGATCAGGGATTGTCGGCTTGCTTTACGACTTACCTTTTCGTGGAGCGGGTCTGGTGTCATCCCATGCGGTAGGTGTCACCCGGTGCGGGCCATACCCCCACACCTGCCTCGGGACGCCACTGTATACAGTGTATTCATAATGTATTCAGACCACTTCACTTTTTTTCAATTTTGTTATGTTGCAGCCTGATACTACGGTTATTTGAATTCATATTTTTTTTCTCAATAATTTACACTCAGCACCCCATAATGACAACGTGAAAACAGAATTTTAGAAATGTTTGCAAATGTATGAAAAAGGAAAAACCAAAATATCACATTGGCATAAGTATTCAGACCCTTTGCAACAATGCTTGAAGTGTAGCTCAGGTGCCTCCCATTTCTCTTGATTGTTGTTGAGAAAAGGGGCGGACTGACCATTTGGGAACTCGGGTACTGCCCGAGGGCCCGGGGGGTCAGAAGGGGGCCCCATTAGATGCCCCTGGTACCCTCTCTCATTGGCTTTTTTGGGTGTGGTTTGAGTGTGGGCAAGGACACAGGGGTCCCATGGTCCCCTATTGTCCGGGGGCCCCATGAGTTGTCAGTCCGCCCCTGGCTGAGAAGCTTCAACACCATGACTGAAGGTCCACTTGTGGTAAATTACATTTATTGGACGTGATTTTGGAAAGGCACACACCTCTCTATAAAAGGCCTCATAGCTGACAATGCATACTGTATCAGAGCAAAAGCCATTAGGTCAAAGGAACTAACAGCTCAGAGACAGGATTGTTGCAAGGAAGGCACATACCTGGGGGAGGCTACAAAAATGTCTGCTTCACTGAAGGTTCCCAAGAGGACAGCGGCCTCCATAATTCTCAAATGGAAGAAGTTTGGCTCAACCAGGGCCCTTCCAAGAGCTGGTCATCCAGTCAAACTGAGCAACTGAGGGGAAAAGGGCCTTAGTAAGAGAGGTGACCAAGAACCTGATGGTCACTCTAACTGAGCTCCAGAGATCCTGTGTGGAGATGAGACAAAGTTCTGGAAGGACAACCATCACTGCAGCCCTCCACCGATCTGGGCCTTATGGCAGAATGCCTACACAGAATCCTCTCCTCAGTGCAAAACACATGAAAACCTGCTTGGAGTTTGCAAAAAAAGTACCTGAGGGGCTCTCAGACTGTGAGGAACAAGATTCTCTGGTCGGATAAAATGAAGAATTAACAATTTGGCCTCAATTCTAAACAATGTATCTGCAGGAAATCAGGCACCTACCCAATACCATCCCAACAGTGAAGCATGGTGGTTGCAGCATCATGCTGGGGGGGGGGGGGGTGGTTTTCAGCAGCAGGGAAGAGGAGACTGGTCAGGGTTGAGGAAAATATGAATGGAGCAAAGTACAGAGATTTTCTCAATGAAAATCATTTTCACAGCCCTCAGAACTTCAGACTGGGCTAAAGGTTCATCTTCCAACATGACAATAATTGTAAGCACACAACCACGACAACAGAGGAGTGGCTTAGGGACAACTCTGTGAATGTCCTAGAGTGGCACAGCCAGAGCCCCGACTTGAACCCTACTGAACATCTCTGGAGAGCCCTGAAAATGGCTGTCCACCAACGGTCTCCATCCTACCTGACTGGGCTTGAGAGGAAAAGAATCCAGGTGTGCGAAGCTTGTGGCATCATACCCAAAAAACTCTGTAATTGGTGCCAAAGGTGCTTCAAACAAAGTACTTAGCAAAGGGTCTGAATACTTAAAGTGTTTCTAAAACCCACAACAGTAAAATCAGTCTGTATACTGTATGCCAGGGGTCTCCAAACTATGGCCCTCCAGGTGTTGAGGAACTGCAAGTCCCATAAGGCTTTGCAAGACTCTGGCAGTCACAGGCAAGACTCCCAGAGGCAGAGACATGATGGGACTTGTAGTACTTCAACAGCTGGAGGGTTATAGTTTGGAGACCCCTGGTATATGCAGTAAAGCATGCTTGTTATACTCACTGTGGAACCTAAGGGGTTAATTCTCTGCATTGTGTAAAAAGGCTGTTTGACCCTTTCCTCTCTGTTCCTCCCCTTCTTGAAGTGACCACCTCATCTCCAAACTGAACATAGGCATGCACATGCTCAGTTTGGTGTGTATTGCTAGAGAGTTTTTTTTTTCTTGGGACAGTGCATGTGATTAGCACAGGGCCAATCAGCACTGTCCAGTTTTCAGGGGATTTCCATCTTCCTAGAGTAGAAGGAAGACTCCTCCTATAAGCTTTAGCTAATGGTGGGCTGGACACTGATAGAAGTCACAAGACTGTTATATACTGCTGATGAGAAAAGGTATTTAGCAGTTTATATTTACTAAAATAATTGCATTTCCATGTTCTGTGTACTGTGGGAGACCAGATTTAGTGAATGCAGGGTCCAGGGAGAGTGGATATAGTAAATGCGGGGTCCGGGGAGACCGGATATAGTGAATGCAGGGTCCGGGGAGACCAGATATAGTGAATGCAGGGTCCGGGGAGAGCGGATATAGTGAATGCAGGGTCCGGGGAGATCAGATATAGTGAATGCAGGGTCCGGGGAGGGGAGAGTGGATATAGTGAATTCAGGGTCCTAGACCGGATATAGTGAATGCAGGGTCCCGGGAGACCAGATATAGTGAATGCAGGGTCGGGGAGACCAGATATAGTGAATGCAGGGGTCCGGGGAGACCAGAATGATAGGTGAATGCAGGGTCCGGGGAGACTCGGATTAATAGTGAATGCAGGGTCCGGGGAGAGCAGATATAGTGAATGCAGGGTCCGGGGGAGATCGGATATAGTGAATGCAGGGTCCTGGGAGGAACCAGATATAGATGGATGCACGGGTCCAGGGGAGAGTGGATATAGTGAATTTCAGGGTCCCGGGGAGAGCGTGGATATAGTGAAAGCAGGGTCCGGGGAGAGCAGATATAGTGAATGCAGGGTCCCGGGGAGATTCGGATATAGTGAATTGCAGGGTCCAGGGGAGACCAGATATAGTGGATGTAGGGTCCGGGGAAGACCAGATATAGTGAATTCAGGGTCCGGGGAGACGCCATATAGTGGATGCAGGGTCCCGGGGAAACCGCATATAGTGGATGCAGGGGTCCAGGGAGTCAGAGATATAGTGAATGCAGGGTCCGGGGGAGACCAGATATAGTGAATGCGGGGTCCGGGGAGACCGGATATAGTGAATGCAGGGTCCAGGGAGACCGATATAGTGAATGCAGAGTCCGGGAGAGTCAGATATCGTGAATGCAGGGTCCGGGAGATCGGATATAGTGAATGCAGGGTCCGGGGAGACCAGATATAGTGGATGCAGGGTCGTGCGGGGAGAGTGGATACTAGTGAATTCAGGGTCCCGGGGAGAGTGATATAGTGTAATGCAGGGTCCGGGGAGAGCAGATATAGTGAATGCAAGGGTCCGGGGGAGATCGGATATAGTGAATGCAGGGTCCGGGGAGACCAGATATAGTGGATGTAGTGGTCCGAGGGAGACCAGATATAGTGAATTCAGGGTCCGGGGAGACCGCATATAGTGGAAGCAGGGGTCCGGGAGAGACCGCATATAGTGGATGCAGGGTCCAGGGAGACCAGATATAGTGAATGCAAGGGTCGGAGGGGGAGACCAGATATAGTGAGATGCGGGGGTCCTGGGAGACCTGGGATATAGTGAATGCAGGGTGCCAGGAGACCGGATATAGTGAATGCAACATTCCAGGGAGACCGGATTATAGTGAATAGCAGGGTCCAGGGAGTACCGGATATAGTGGATGCAGGGTGCGGTGAGAGCGGATATAGTGAATTCAGGGTCCGGCGGAGACCGGATATAGTGAATGCAGGGGTCGGGAGAGTACCAGATATAGTGAATTGCAGGGTCCGGGGAGACCCAGATATAGTGAATGCAGGGTCCGGGGAGACCGGATATAGTGAATGCAAGGTCCGGGAGAGCAGATATAGTGAATGCAGGGTTCCGGTGGAGATCGGAATTTAGTGAAATGCCGGGTCCGGGGAGACCAGATATACAGTGGATGTCAGGGTCCGGGGAGGAGTGGATATAGTGAATTCAGGTCCTGGGAGAGTGGATATAGTGAATGCAGGGTCCGGGAGAGCAGATATAGTGAATGCAGGGTCCGGTGGAGATCGGATATAGTGAATGCAGGGTCCGGGAGACCAGAATATAGTGGGATGCAGGGTCCGGGGAGACCAGATATAGTGAATTCAGGGGTCCGGGGAGACCGCATATGGTGGATGCAGGGTCCGGGAGACCGCATATAAGTGGATGCAGGGTCCAGGGAGACCAGATATAGTGAATGCAGGGTCCCGGGGAGACCAGATATATAGTGAATGGCGGGGTCCGGGGAGACCGGTAATATAGTGAAAGCAGGGTCCAGGGAGACCGATATAGTGAATGCAGAGTCCGGGGAGCTAGAGCAGATATAGTGAATGCAGGGTCCGGGGAGATCGGATATAGTGAATGCAGGTCCGGGAGACCAGATATAGTGGGATGCAGGGTCCGGGGAGAGTGGATATAGTGAATTCAGGGTCCGGGAGTGAGTGGATATAGTGAATGCAGGGTCCGGGGAGAGCCAGATATATAGTGAATGCAGGTAGTACCGGGGAGATCGGATATAGTGAATGCAGGTCCGTGGGAGACCAGATCTATCGTGGATGCAGGGTCCCGGGAGACCAGATATAGTGAATTCAGGGTCACGGGATGAGCCGCATATAGTGGATGCAGGGTCCGGGAAGACCGCATATAGTGCTGATGCAGGGTCCGGGGAGGACCGGATATAGTGAATGCAGAGTCCGGGGAGACCGGAATATAGTGAATGCAAGGGTCCAGGGAGACCGGATATAGTGGATGCAGGGTGCGGTGAGAGAGGATATAGTGAATGCAGGGTCCGGGGAGAGCGGATATGAGTGGAATGCAGGGTCTGGGGAGAGCAGATATAGTGAATGCACGGGGTCCGGGAGACCGGATATAGTGAATGCAGGGTTTGGGAGACAGCAGATATAGTGAATGCAGGGTCCGAGGAGACCAGATATAGTGAATGCAGGTCCGGGAGCCCGGATATAGTGAATGCAGGTGTGCGGGGAGATCGGATATAGTGGATGCAGGGTCCGGAGAGGACCGGATATAAGTGAATGAGCAGGGTGCGGGGGAGAGCGGATAGAGTGGATGCAGGGTCCGGGGAGAGCGGATATAGTAAATGAGCCAGGTCAGGGTTTAGTACAACACGTTTAAGTACATTCAGTTTTTTTCTTTTTAATAAACTTTAATGGACATTTCAAATTCCTGTATTTCACTTTGTCATATATGGGGTACTTAGCGTAGACTAACTACTTACCATCACCCATTTCCTTTAGACCGGCTGTATGGAGAAGCAGCACTGATTCGAACCTGTACCATCAGCCCACCATAGGAGGCTCCTGCATGGCTCACAGCAGCGCACCACCACCGGGAGCCTGTTGAATCCGTGTGTCAAGCCACCGGCACAGCACATCACATTACAAGCTGTGTCCCGGTAGGTCACATGATATTTTATCATGTGATTTTTTTGCTGTGTCAAATCACAGCAATCACACATAGTAAACAATACCGAGTAAAGATCGGTTCTTTCCATGTGAGAGCAGAGAGTACGCGATCCTGCAGTCTATGAGTGTAGAGCACCGAACTGGTGTCGTTGTTGGTGAAGGGCACATTGTCAAAGAAAACATTTAAATGGCACGAACAACCATCATTATATATGATGGAATCATGATCTGGAGATAGACAAGTCTATTATTTAGTAGTTTTTTGTTTATATTTATTATAATTTTTTTCACATTTGGAATTCTAATATACCCTATTGGCTAACATTAACGAGAAGTGCAGCACGATCATTTTATTTTTTCTGTATTTAGACACATTTTTTGTGAGTATGTGTAGTATGAGCAGCATTTTCTAAATATTTTCAAGTTTATTTAATTTACACTGTTTTGGGATTGTCTTGCAGGTTTTCACATTTATATCCACATGTCTAACTAACAACTGTCATATGGATGGTGCCATGCAGTGCTAAAACAAGATCATCCACTTTCCAGGGCAAAGACGGCAAAAAACTAGACATCCCCTGGAGGATGTGGGTGAAGCTAATAGTGACTGAGATCTATGTAATGTTTGAAATGTATGCACTGAAATAAATCCAATAGTTGTGGACAGGGGCGGACTGACCATTCGAGCACTCGGGCACTGCCCGAGGGCCCGGGGGTCAGTAGGGGCCCAACATAAAATGCCCCGGGTACCCTTTTATAGGCTTTTTTTGGGTGTGTTTTGAGTTGTGGGCAAAGGACACAGGGGCCCCTGATCCCCAATTGCCCGCGGGGCCCATGAGTTCTCAGTTCCCGCCCCCCCACCTGGTTGTGGAACATTATAGTGAACTCAAGAGTTTTAAAACTGATGCACAAATATGGGGCTAACAGTGGCAGAGAAAAAAAAATGTTCCTAGCATCAGTGGTGTGGTGGTGCCATCAAGCAACTAAAGGGATCTAAGGGGGGCTCTGTGTGAGGAAGGCTGTTGTTGAAGGGCTCGTTCAGATGTGCACGCTATCATTGCTACTGCTCATAAAACTGATATCGCAGCAAAGGCAGATCACATTTCAGAGGGTGTTTGACAGGGGGATGAGGAGCAATATGTCACACTCCTTACAGCCACGTGCTTCAACTCAGTTGCAGTGTGGCCCCCATTCCATTCCATTTCATTCTTCCTACATGCTTTGTCATTTTTGCAACAGCTGCAGCTCCTTTTCAGGTTTTGGTGGTTGGGGGCCTGGGCTGGTCTGGCGCTCACTCAACTGAGTTTTAAGAAAATTGTGCATTTTCTTCCCTGGGCGGGAAAACCGAGGGTGAAAGGAAGTCGCAAGCTTCAACGATGATCTCTCAGAAATAGTACGGTGGCCCTATGTTAAGGCTTTGGGCCTCTGTTGTTTCCTTTTCACTTCTTTGGATTTGGAGCTGGCTGTTGTAAGTACGCACCCAGTTGGCTCTTTCACTGGGGCCCTCTGAAGTTTTCCCGCTCTCTGGACTTTCCAAATAGCAGCATCTGTAGTCAACCATTCAAGGCTTCTTCCCAGCAAGTTTCAGGGGCAAGCAACAACCCCTAGCCAGGTTTCAGGGCAAGCAATAACCCCAGAAAGTTTCAGAGCTGGCAACAACACCCTAGCTAGTTTCAGGGCAAGCAACAACCCCTAGCAAGTTTTCAGAGCAAGCAATAACCCCTAGCAGGTTTCAGGGCAAGCAATAACCCCAGAAAGTTCCCAGAGCAAGGCAACAACCCCTAGCTAGTTTCAGGGCAAGCAACAACCCCTAGCAAGTTTCAGAGCAAGCAATAACCCCTAGCAAGTTGCAGAGCAAGCAACAATCCCCAGCACAATATTAACCCCCAGCACTAATGAATGCTGCACTTGTGCAGCTCATTATACATTTCAAATGGAGACTGTGAGCAGGCAGCGTAGGTTTACTTTTATTGCAAAAAATACATTGCAACATGTCCTCTCTCTTGCAATAAACTAGTCTGCCTACTTGCAATTTTTTGTAAAAGCGGGGGCTTTGAGTTCTCACTTTACATTGACATCAAAAACTACTTCTTAGCAGACTGATCTGGAAGTTTGCTTATCCTCCTCCTACACCCCTCCTCTCTTCCTTTTGGGGGGGGGGTGGGGGGGGGTTATATCTAGTTTTGACATGTACCAACGCTTCCGCTGGAATTACCTAAGATTATCCAATGGAAGTCCCCCCCGCCATTCACAAAGTTCAACGTGACATGCACATGCACAGTGGAGGTGTCATGGCTGTGAAGATAGTCAAAGCAGACTTCCCACAGTCAGCATGCTGGCACTGGGGATCTGAAGACCAGCAAATGAATCGGCCTGGGTGAGGACAGCACGTGGACCCACTGGACAAGGTAAGTGTCTTTTTATTAAAAGTCCGCGGCTACAGTATTTGTAGATGCTGACTTTGTAACATTTTTGCAACCTGACCGAAGAGCCTTTTTAAAAGGATAAGTTCACCTTTTAGACAAAAATAATACCTGAAAAAAAAAAATGTGCATATTATGTATTTTTGTCTACAGGAGCCTGGAAAGCATTGCAAGCCAGTTGATCGATAGAGCGCTGATGCCATGCACGTCTCACTGTCACAATATCTGCTTTGATGTTACTGGATGTACGTGATGTACGGGATGTACGGGGTGTACGGGATGTATGGGGTGTACGGGATATACGGGATGTATGGGATATACGGAATGTACGGGGTGTGAATGGGATATACGGGATGTATGGGATTATATGGGATGAACCGGGGTTTAACGGATGTTACGGGGTGTTACGTGGAATATATGGGATGTACGAGGTGTACGGGATAGAGGGGGATGTACGAGGTGTACGGGATATACAAGATGTACGGACGTATGGGTGTACGGTGAAATGATACAGGTGCCACGAGATATACTAGGTGTAACGGGATCTCACTACGGATGTACGGGGGTCTGTTACTAGGATTAATACTACTAGGAATAGACATGATCACAGTATATAACGGGATGTTGGGTTATATGGGATGTACGGGTGTACGGATATATGGGATTACAGAGTGTACGGGATGTACAGGGTTTTTAAGGGGGGTTCCACCCCACAGCACGGTTTTTCCTCAGGGCGCGGGGTTTTTCAAAAGTCCCAGCCTCCCTTTTTCCACCAGGGCCCCGGGTTTGGGGGGGGATGGACTTGGTGCGCCGGGAAAAACCAGGTCGGGGCCCCCTGAGTGCTTTCCGGCTGGGGGTAGAGGGTATGGCAGGGGAGTGCAGGAACGGGGGTCTGTTTGGGAAGAGGGCCAGGGGGACTTACTAAAGGTGATCCGTGGGGGGGAGGGAAAGGTTTGGGTCGGTCGAAGTTAAGGCGAAATTTTCAGGAAAGGCCCGGGGGGTGGGGTTTCGTGGGGGGCGCGTTGGTACGGAGGGGGAAAAGCAGGAAGGGGCGGGGTCACAAGCCAGGTTAAGCGGGTTGCAGGTAGAGGGGCCCGGGGGGGGCCCCGGGTACCAAGGATCGGGCAGAGGGAGGGGTCGGGAAACCCAAAAGGGGTTCAAAGGAGACGGTCGAAAGAGTTCGGATAAAAGAAAGGGTCAGCAACGAGGGCGGGGAACATTTGGAAAACCAAAGGTACGGGGGTTCAGGGGAAAAATTTACCCCCAAGGCCCCTGACCCCGGGCCTGGTCATTCCACAAAATACCCCTCCCGAAAAATAAAGCCCCAGGTGGCCCGGCTGCTACGGGAAAGTGAGGTTTTGGGCCGTTTGGGAGAGCTCCCCCGGGCCCCGGGCCCCAAAAACCACTGCAGCCCAAAGGGGAAAGGTGATTTCCCAAAACCATTTGTGACCCCATTCCTGACAGTCCCCCCCCAATCAAGGAGGGGCCCCTCCGGACTTTTTTCCCAAAACAGTCTTAGTGGGGCCAAAAAGGGTTCCCACCGCCCGGGCCCGGGGGAAATGGCTTTTATTTTTACTCCCGGGAAAGTCAACCGGGGGCGGGGTTTTTCCTGTTTGGCAGACTTCTTTTATGTGGGGGAAAACCCCGGGAAAGGGCGGGGGTCGTGGAAAAGGGAAATTTCCGGAAAGCAGGCGGGGAAATCAGATATTGGCCATTTTTAAGTGGGGGGGAAGGGGGGGGGGGCCACGCCCAGGGGGGGCAGTGGGCAGGGGGAAAGGGTTCGGGCTGGGGCAGCGGAGGGGGCACGTCGGGGTCGGGCGCGGGACAGAGGAAACGTCAGGGGCTGGGCAGGGGTTGGGAGGCCCAGGTCCCCGGGGCCACCGAGTAAATCTTGGCAAGACAGGGGCACCGAGGCAATCTGGAAAAGGGACAGCGGGCCCCCGATTTTAAATTGGGCCCACGCGCGGGAAAACCGGGGTCATTTTTGGCACGACGCGGGCACCGTTAATCTGGGGGGGAAGTGAGCTCTGAGTTCATCGGGCAGAAAACCGCGGGCCCACCGGCCGACAGGGGGGGCCCCCACCGAGTATCGGGGGGCAGGACAGCGGGCTCCCGGAGTCATTTGGCAGGGGACCAGGGGGGGGGGGGGGGGGGCCCACCGGGGGGGGTCTTTTGGGCCCAAGACAGCGGGCATGATTTCATCGGGCCCAAGACGGGCGGGGCACCGGTATCGGGGAAAGGGACAGCGGGCTCCA